GGAGATGCCATATGTAGCCGTGGGCACAGGACATCAACATGAATATATACACATGAGTCGGGTGTACAGCATTATTATTAGGGAAATTTTCAAATGTCGAATTAGTGATTTTTTTTATGAGTTAACTTATATGTAATCCAATGTTTTTACTGATCTTTGTTTCTATTTTTTTGGTATTAAAATTTAAAATAAATAAAAAAAAGAGCCAAAATCACTACTAAATTATGATAATCCCACTACTCGAAAATTTCATAAATTTTAAATGAAATATTTCAACATTTTCTTTTCTATCTTATAAATCTAAATCCATAATAAAATACCACCAAAATTATCCTATCATAGTGATAAAATTATTATTATAGTTGTTTATCAAATAGTAGGTATGGATATAAAAAATTTGGCACCTTTTTCTTATAATTATACTAGATAATGTTATAATTATATAGAAAAATAAATTAAAACTCATTACACAATAGTAGTATTTTTGGGTATTAATTTAAAATTTTGACCAAATCAATATTACTTTTAAAGTTTTGTTATTAAAACTATCAAGTCAATGGAGGAAGATGCAATTTTTCAAACTAGGAGAGAGCTTAGAGCTTAGTGAAATTGTGAGAAACCTCAAGGGAGGTTCCTGAAATTATCCCTTATTATTATGGTTACTGAGATTAAGGCTCGCATCCATGGGTAAAGAGCAGACGTGACAGTTCATGTTAGCTATCAGGCTTGATGGGCACTTGTCCTTTGGAGCATTTAAAGTTTTTTAGTGAACGACTTTTTTTCTACTTAATTATTAATGAAATTAAAATATGAGTTTTACCTACCTATTAGTACTTCAGAACAAGTGGATTACCTATGATTAATTCTTGCTAAAAAAAAAGATCCAATTGTAATAATGCCTCCCTCCCATACATTTTCAAGCAAGGCTATAGACAGCATATATATAGATATACATACATACATATTGAGCTTGTTAAAAAGCCTCTATAGGGAATTACCTTCTATTTTACTGCGTGTTAGATGAATTGTCTGGGAGACGGTTTCTATTTGTTTTGTAAAAAATGATTAAGCCAATCGTTTAGAATCTTTAAAATAATTGTAATGGATTCTAATTTTGATCATTGTGCTTGCGAAGCCAACAAGATTACTGCCAAAAAGAGAACTGTCATTATTCATATTAGTCTTTAACAAGTTTTTGATTTGTTTGCGTATGTCGTTTCTCAAGCACACGTATATAACAGGATTGAATGCTTTTGTACAGAGATCTGTATTGGGATAACATGGAATTGACCCAACTGGGTTAAAGCGCACACGTATATATGGATTGATTTGAGTGTGCTTTTCTAAATATACTATATATGTCCCACTAAAAGTTTAACTACAAATGCATCATCGTTCGGTGACTACGCACAGCCACTCCGTGCTAGCTCCGATACTAAACTTGCCCTATGCTTCAACAAGCGTATTTAGTTGGGTCTGCACGTAACGGTTCTGAACTTCGGCCCCGAGTTCGCGAAGTGTAATTGCAAGCTCCAGGTGAAAAGACGGCGATCGTTGCGGGCGGTGGATATCGTGTCGGGGCTTGTGTTCAACTCTTCATTCTCCGTCAGAATGCTTCTTTCCTCACCTTGTAATCCTCACCGGAAACTGGGTTGGGCTCGTGGATTTCTAATGACTGCTGCAGCGGACCCCCTTTTCTAATTTAAACTGCCTTTTCATTTGGGCCAGTGGTATCTATCCCTCCATAGATGAGACGAGGCGAACGATAGGAGAGCAGGCCGTAGTTTGGGCATTGATGCACACACAAATTACACGGGACAACATGTGGTAGATTAAACACCCTACCGTTGGTACTAAATTAAATGGATTAATATTTTATACATTACGAATGTACAAATCATCATCATTAAATGCATTAAATGCATGAGAGCGAGACAGGCGAAGGTGCTGCGGCCCGATGGACATAGAGTTCATAAATTAATGGCCTGCCTATTAAACCCAGTTCCCTTAGTTACAACTTACAACAACAGGCTAGGCTGCCCCAAAACAACAGGTAGCCTAATTAATTACCCCCTATTACAACAGAATCCTAGCTAGTGCGTGAATTTGGTGATTTAGTTGAGCCGTGACATCCCCTAATTTCCTTCCCCCCCCCCCGCGATTAACCAACAACGAACTTGCGTCTCCTTTTGTATTATGATGATGATGATGATGATGATGATGATATAGCAGTACTCTTCTTACCAGTTTCCTTTGTGTGGCTTCCAGGTTACTCGTCACGCGGACCTGTTTGACATGTGTAGTGTTTGTTTCGACCTCATCAATTGCGTAATTATTAAGAATCCACTTTCTTTACTTTTACGCTTTCCTTGCGCATTCTGTTGTTTTCTTTTTCTAGACAACCATATCAGAAATTAATAATTGTTCTTTTTCTTTCTTCCTTGTTTTTTTTTTTTTTTTTGTAGGTTGACAACATACAAGAAAATGGTTGAATGAGAGTGGACAATTGGCAAGCAGGATGTTGAAATTTGCAATTGATAAAATAATAGCTGTGAGATTAATCTTTAAAGATTAATCTTTTTTACACTGACAGTGTATATACTATCACTGTTGGATGAATAATAATTATCTAAAATTTGAATTTGTAATTCAACTTTTACACACATGTTATTAATCTAGCGGTGATAGTGTATACACTGTTAGTGTGTGTATAAAATTTACTCATCTCTTAATTGCATCGTAAGAAGACATTGATTTTAATTAATAATACAACTACTAGTAATTTTTTAAAAAAGTTTTTTTTGTAAGTGGGAGGTTTTCAATTTAGAATCTTTTATTTACAATTTCTTCCATCTTATCATTCAACCCAATCCCTACCCAATTAATACAACTACTAGAAACGACACCACGCTCGAGTTTTAAGACGTAATTTAGGGTTTGTATAAATTAGATATTTTTGAAAAATTATACTATGACATATTGTGTTTCAAAGACTTTCACTGTAGATGGTTTTGTATGAATTACGTGTTTTTTGAAATGTATTTTGAGATATTTTTAAAATTTTATTAATTTTTCACCACCACCGCTTCTTCCTTCTTTCCTACTCCATCCTCCACCGCCGTTGTCACCCCCTGCCTCCTCCTCTATTCCCCTCTTTTCATCTCCTTCCTCCTCTCTCTTCCTTTCTCTTCCACTTCATTTCCTTCCCTCATTCCTCGTCCTCTCCTCTCCCTTTCCTCCCTTTCTTCACACAATTCATTATCTTCCTTGTCCTTTCTGATCGTATCTGTCACGATCAGAGAACGAGATGGAAGGGAGGAAGGTTGTACAAGAAAAGGAAGGGAGGAAAGAGGGGGGGAATGGATAGGAAGAGAGAAGAGAGAGGACAGAGTGACAAAGGGTCGACCACGAAAGAAGGAGAAGGGAAAGAGTGGCAGTGGATGGTGGTAGTGGATGATGATTGGAAGACCAAAGAAGTGGTATGATTTTTTTAATTTTTTTTGTTAGGCGTATTTGAGAAGTGACAGATGAATATGAAAAATTCATCAACTTTCCCTGTAATTTTGTAGGCCTTTCTTGGCATTATTATGGGTTTTGGGCAGTCCTAGGCCAGAGTGATTAAATGAAATAGTTCTTTGCACTTAGCAGATACGAGATAAGGTACTGCAAAATTAATTAGGGGAGTTGGTGGGTAAGCATCAACTAGCACGTACGTACAAGGACACGTAGAAAAAATAATTTTTCTTGTTATGGTTCCTTAGCACGTAGTCAGCATATCATAGTTAAGGGGTTCGCTTCGCTTAAAGATGCGCGTCCCATCACATGCTATAAACTCTCTCCATTCCATAAAATAGGTTCACTTTCACCTTCACAAAAATAAAGACGGATAATACTTTCATTATATGCCTTTCCATTCATATGTGTATCAGTGTTGTACGTATTACTTCTAGTAGAATGGTTGACTGATAGAATAGCATATTTATTAATTATAAGATGCATATTAATTAACTACGGGTATAATACTAAATTTATGCACTAACTATCCTTCTAAACTGGAAATAGGTAAGGATTATCAATACGATTGTGTTGGCCCAAACTCGGCCTGAAAGAGCAGGAGCCAAGCTTAATGTAATTCTAAAATGTTTAGGCCTACATTTGAGGCCTAACTAAAATGTGAGTCGAGTTTAGGTCTCTATAGGCTCTACTTAGATTAAAACTCGATCAGTTATATATATATATACACACACACACCCTAATGCATATAACTATAAATGTATTATTTTTAAATATGTAATGTATAATTAGATTATTAGGGGGAGGGTTGGATTGGGTGGTACGGGGGGAGGGAGTGTAAGCAAGAGGTCTCGGGTTCGAGTCCTCCCGCTTACACACACATAAAAAAAAAAAAAAAAGATTATTAGTAATTAGTATTGGTTTTGAAGAGAATTAGATTCATTAAATAAATATATTTAAATAGAAAATCCTAATTAGGAGCCTATTTACTACTGACTGCTACTGTTAGTCCATTACATGATTTGAAACTAGAAGCCCTAATCCCTACTCTATCATCAGAAAACTTTTGGTTTATGTACTTTTAAAAGAATTAGACACAATTGTTGTCTGAGAACTTTTGGCTTATGTAGTTGTAATGAACATTTCAGTGATTGATGTGTAGTTTTAATATTTAAGTAGAGTGCAAAATAACTTTACTATTTAATGGGTTATGATGCACCATTTGGTACCGCTCACCCACCTATGATTTGATTTACTACTGGCATGGTAATGGACAGAGTTGGGGGGAGCAGGAGGAGGGAGACGGCGGTACCAGTCCGTCAACCTCAACACACCCTCCCTCGGACTTTGCGTGGTAACGAAGTGGAGGCAGATCGAGCACGCATGCACTAACGCCTACAGTATATGTATGCCAAGAGCATAGCCAAGCCTACCAGCACATTTCAATAATGTTAACCCGGAAATTAAGGGGCATTGAATTAAGTACGAGTGCACAATTACAGTTTGAAGCTACCGATTCGAGTAAATTTAAGCGCATTTAAGTGCACAATCAGTCGCCAGTCAAATGCTGAAATATGCATATGCATGAATGAGTGTATGGGTTTCTTAGTTCCAGACACCGCAGAAGAGTTGTGAATACTAGTAATTAATTTCGGTCCCTCCTTACCGGTTACCACCGGCCAAATTAAAGAGAATGAGCAATTATTTACTCTACAATTAAAGAGAAGATCCCGGGGGTACATACATCTGAATCCTGAATGTGACGACGAGTTGTAGAGCAGAAGGAATCATCAGTCGTCAAAAAATTGGTAGATCGGATGCCTCATTGGTTGGTTACCTTTGATTGAGAGAGAGGATGCCGGCATGCGACTTGAGTATTTGTGAGTTGTGTGGGATTCCATTCTCTCGCAGAAATCACAGCTCGCAATGCCAAATGCAAAGCCAGTGGCAAGCAGTAGTACGTAGAGTCTGAGAGCCACTCCCAGCCAAATGCCCCTCTCTGCAGTCTGCTCTGTGTTGGGTTGCCATCTAATCCGCTTGTCTGTCAGTCCGTCCATTTGTGTGTCGATTCAGTAAAAGACAACCAACCGGCTTTTGGGGTTTCACGGTGAAATTAGGTTTGTGATTTCCTCTTAACTATTGTTGGAAAAAAACCAACCTATGTTACATAATGTTATGTTATGATATGCCAAAACGAAAACAAATTGAATACCAAAATCAGAACCCCCACTTTTCTTTTTAATCTTTTTGTCTTCTAATGGAAAAAGAAAAATGTTATTTGATCCGACTGACCATCTCAAAAAAACATCCCCCCAATTACTTTTGTGCAAATGTGCTCTTCTTCTTCTTCTTCTTCTTCTGGTAAACTGGAGTGGTAGTAGTAACAACATTGCAATTCTACTAGTAGTATATACTCAATTACATAGATGCTAGCATATACTAACTCCGCACCATCCACCCAAATTGCTTACTAATCGATCACATTTCCAGTTCAAAAACAAAAACGCCCCTAGGGAGTAATTAATTTAGCAGCAAAAAAAAAAAAAAAAGAGTAGTGAGGGGACTGCTATGGTAGCAGCATCGATAGCACCGCACATGAGAATGAGTGGGCTTTTCCGATCCAAGTCTTGCACCCTACCTCCCTTCATCCCCACCCCCATCGCTCCTCCTCCTTCCCATGATGACATCCTCAGACCAACATCCCCTCCCACCCCTTCTCGCTACCCCCACCACCACGAGGACGAAGACGACGAAAAAGAAGAAGAAGACGACGACGACGACTACTACCAAGACAGAGTGGAAGAGGAGGATGGGTATTTCCTCGTCAAAAAGAATCACAGCCCTGCTACGACGCCATTTATTGGGTTGGAAGAGCGCAGGAGCAGCAGGAGACACAAGAGCTGCAGTAGCACCAGTCGTCATCATCACCGTGGTGATCCTGATGATGGTCAGTTTCCTCCCGGGGGGTTACTGGCCATTGTGGTCGCGGCTCTGAGGAAGTCTCTCTTGGTCACCTGTACCGGTCTTGACCTTGACACCGATGCTGCTGATGACGTCTCCTCCTCCAACCACCTCGACATTGGCTGGCCCACCGACGTCCGCCACGTCTCCCACGTCACCTTCGATCCCTTCCATGGCTTTCTCGGCTTGCCCCGCGACCTCCAGTATCATCTCCCCCGCGGCAACATCGTCCCCAGCGCCAGGTCCCCTCTTTGTTTCAACCTAATCATCCAAAAAAGAAAAAAAAAATTTTTTTTTTTTTTGTTAATACAATGTATTTACTTATTGCTGTAGCATTAGATTCTTGCTCGCTTCACTTTCTTCTTCATTTAATTCCCAAGAGATCATTGTACAAATAACACATCTGACAGGTGAGCCTGATTTCTGCTGTGGATCTGAGATCATATCTGCTTTCCAAAGTATTTTTTTCACTACTACTACTAGTATCCTATCTTCTTTGCTTGCCGTGTTTCACTGCCTTGCGCATGTATGGTTTTGTGGTCAGATGATTTTACTGTTAGTCACCTGTCATGTTTCTACTAAATATACTAGTGCACTTAATGACTCCCACAAATGCTATTTCAATACTCAGGGATCTTATCCAATAGTACTAGTTGATAAGCAATTGGATGACAAAATTTTTTTTCTTTGGCTCGATTTATTTGGTTTGTGTTACTACTGCTATTGCCAGTCAATCTAGATGTATAGGCGATACTGGGATAGTTTTTTCACTAATTGTGATGCTCATATTATCAAAGGGTGCTCTGGTAGATGCTTCCATAATGTCATCCAGAAATTCATATTCCACGCTATCTTTCACTACCGTCACTGTTTGTTGCAATGTAAATTTGGGAATGGCCATTCTTTTCCCTGTTCTCTTGGATATTGGAAGTAAATTTGTTTCTAACTCTTACCGGACTTCATAAAACGCCATGATAGCTCTTGTTGGAAGGACTGGAAAGTAGAGGGGGGTGGGGTTAGGAAGGTTTCTCTAACCTTCTTGTTTGTGTCTCGCCTAGAAATTCTATTCAGAATTTTTAAATTCAGTAAATTTCATGGTTATTTGGGTGCCCTATCAGCCTAGGGATAAGCCAAAGAGGCATGGGTTTTCACTGATATTAATGAGTGGTTCCAATCTGCACTTGTGATATTAGAGCACAGTAGCAGTTTTACCATATTCCTGCTTTACTCGCGTAGATAGCTTGGTCTGGCACTTCATCTATGATTTTCTTTTCCCTTCTTACCCTGTTGCCCCATTTGCAGTGCAAGTGTATTTGGAGTCTCAGCCCAGTCAATGCAGTGTTCTTATGATCACAGAGGAAACAGTGTCCCGACAATTCTTCTGATGATGCAGAATCGTTTGTACTCAGAAGGCGGCCTAAGAGTATTGTTTTTATTATCTTACACTTTTGATGATTGCTGTAAAAATTTGAAAATAGTTGACGTAATTTTTCCTGCTTTGCTTGAAGGCTGAAGGAATATTCCGAATAAATGCAGAGAACAGTCAAGCAGAAAATGTTCGAAACCTGTTGAATAAAGGTGTTGTCAAGTTAATATCTCACATTCCTCTGCCTTTACAAGAAAACTAATCCTTTCCAGAAAAGTGGCTTTCATTATGTGATATCAAAGCACACACACACACACACACATATATATATATATATATATATATATATATATATATATATATATATATATATATATATATATATATATATATTGTCAAATGGCGTTGTATTATATCATTAAAACTTGATAGTTACAAAAAGGGTCAACTGCCCTATGATGTCAAAGCATTTATAAGAATACTGAAACTGTGAAATGCTATCAGACTGTTAGAAGTGTATAAGTGAATCTTGTGAACCAGAAGGAGGTACATCTAAAGTTGAACGTGCTACCAAACTTTAATTGACAGTCAATGATCTGAATGCCTAATTTTTCGCATTTTCTCAAAATCAATGAATTATTCTCTGTTAAATTTCCTATCTAATGTTTTGCAGACAATTTTATTTGTGAGTGGACAGCAAATTTTCAACCTTCTGAACTGAAGGAACAGTCTTTTGTGATCTTGTTGGATAATCTAGAAAACCAGTTAATTTAGTGTGGTATCTATATTAAGCCTCTACTAAGAATTGGTGGTTAAGTTGTTGTACGCAACGTGAATTTTTTGGATGCATGGCTTGCTTATCAAATAATATTGATGCATAAAATTTTAAATGAAATTAAACATATCTTGGATGAAAAGAGAAAAGAGGTAGTTACCAAATGAATGTATTGGGTAGCCTAGTTGTTGAACTTTCTTGGTTGGATCTGACATAGCCTAAGGCACCATTCTGTCCTCTTCTAATTTTGGCAGCAGCAATTGTTTTCATGTTAGTTTTTTATCAGATGAAATGCGATTTTTGATCCCATCCCCAAAATTTTCTGGTCTGAATTTAATCCATTGTGAATATAACTATGGCATATCTTACTCTCTTAGTAATCTGATGTAACTTTTATTTGCCTTTGTGAGATTTGTTGGGCATTCCTTGGGTATTACCTGATAATGATTTTTGAAACCCGGTGAATTTTCAGGCTTGGTTTAGAGAACTCCCCACTGGGGTTCTTGATTCTCTGACTGCAGAACAAGTGATGCATTGCAACACGGAAGAAGAGTGCACACGACTTGTGAAATTACTTCCTCAGACCGAAGCTGCATTGCTTGATTGGGCAATCAATTTGATGGCAGATATTGTGGATTTTGAACACTATAACAAAATGAATGCACGGAACATTGCTATGGTGTTTGCTCCAAATATGACTCAGGTGCGCTGGTGCTTCTACGCTATAAATATTTTAGATTTCGCTTGTTTAATGTATTTCCCTTCTTTTGTGGTTAAATTTTCATCCCAGCTTCACAAATTGTGTTTGTTTCCTGTTTTTAAGCATTCTAGACGATAGAATATCGGAGGCTTCTTTAGCTTTGGAGTGAGGTCTGTTAACGATTTTACGAATAATTTGCTCTAGGAAATAAGTTAGGGATACAGCTTTTTAGTTGCTTATCATCAGCGATTGACTTCTAGGCAAGCTAAACACTTGCTTAAACTTAGGCCGACGTATAGTCCTGGATTGGGGCTTGAGATGGGTTTGATTGTGTTGCTGTGTTTGTGTTGGCATCATTGCCATGTCTGTCTGTCCTTAGGACCATCCACGAGAGAATTGTATGCTTTTCTGTTAGTTTATTGAAGTTTAGCTGTGTGAGTTGTTTAATTAAGATGCTATTGAAATTTTATGCAGATGGCCGACCCACTAACTGCATTAATTCATGCCGTCCAAGTTATGAACTTCCTGAAGGCACTGATAATCAAAACTCAGAGCGAGAGAGAAGAATCTGCTTCCAGGATGACTTTACCATCATCGGCTACTCATTCTCCGACCCACAAGGACGCATATTCCTCAGACTCAGGTGTATTGATACAATGCCACCGGGGCCTTTATGGCGATTGCAGCGAGGGACCTGGCACTGGTGAACTTTTCAGAAGTGGGACTTTTGACCGCACAGAATCTGCCAGAGCGGATCAGTGGAACTTCAAAAGCAAGAGTGATGCCAAGCAGGAACGTGAAGCCGTTCCAAGTAGGATATCAACAATTATGCATGATCTGGAAAGTGGTTTGCGAGATGATGGTTTGGAAAACATGGAAGTTTGAATAAAGGGGCGAGTGTTGCACCTAAGTAAACCACATAAGAAAAGTGCGGGTGTTGGAATTGTAGAAATACTAGAAGAGGGGGAGAAGCCTGGGCGTGAAGAAATTGCTACGCTCACGAGTCACGCCGAGATCTATGATTTTATGTTCATGGTCGAGATTCTTGATAAACGTTTGAAACACTGAAGTTGCTAGGGATTAGAGTATTGTTTGTTAAAAAAATTAATTTTTTATGAGTAGCGGCTTAAAATAATCTTTAAGCAAGCATTGCGAATCAAAACTTTCTTATTATCGCATTATCTTTGTATTAGATATAATATATTGGATTACATTCTATTTAATCAATTTTGATGAATTCCTAATTGAATTAATAAGAATAGGATAAGGCAGTGAAGAGGGAATGAGCTTTTAGAGTGGAAAGTAAGAGTCGATTGGCTTGCAGCACATCAAGGCACATCAAGGGTACGGGTTCATTCCCCTTGGATTTTTGGTTTGTATGTACTGCCGTGTTTGTTGTTTAGGGTGCGGTGGCCCAGAACCGCAAAAAGAAGGGGAATGAATTGAACACCAGATTTCTACTAATTCAATCACAACTTCAAACTGTTACCCGTTGAATGAACCTGCTGGAAAACGGACAAAATACATACATACATACATATATATATATATCGATCCAAGTCCAAGCTGTACATTTGCCCGCGACACGACTTCTTCAAACGTAAACGACCACGTGAGCCGTGTAAATCCAGTATTCCTCCGTCTTGTTTCCCGCTCTTCACAGTTCACACCCTTTCTGGCTTTGTGTTCTCATCTGCCAACACGTGCAATTATTGATGCACTACTACTACTACTACTACTACTACCGCTAGTAGATTCACCCGTGACATGTTGTAGTAGCGGGATGGAATGAGAGATGGATTGGATAGTTAAAAAAAGAAAATAACGTTAATGAGAGGTTCGAATACGAAATTTTTTACTTATAATAAAAAGTTGTTTTGAAGAAAAATATACGCTCGTGACTCTCAAACATTTAATTTATAGTAAATACATAAATGTTTGGAATCAAAAAGTGTTATAGTGATATTATTACCAAAAGAAAACTGGTAGGTTATTTATTTAACATTAATTAAATATTTAAAAAAAGAAAAAAGAAATTGTCCCATAAAGTATCCACTCTTTATGGCTTTCCTCCATTACATGAACAAACTGCCTGTTCTTTATGAGCATTTTATTCTGAATCATGTAATTTATGTTAAATACATAAATATTTGTAAGTAAAATTCAAAAAGTGTTACACTAATATTTTTATGAAAGGAAACTAGTAAGTTTTGTATTTAACATAAATTAAATATGTGAAAGTAACACTCACAAGTAGTTTAATTAGTTATTTAATTTGTTGACAAGAAGCAAGGTTTCTTTTGCAAAATTAGAATATAAAGGTAAATTCCCACAATCTTTTGTAAGTAAGCCCTAATTTCCTCCTGGGAGAGATCAGTGCTATTTCTTAAATCATAGAAGAAGAGGTGAGTGCTAGTGTCTGCAATTATCTCCTAAAAAAATAACATAAAAATTCTAAAAATATAATTAAGGTCTTTTTTAATAATTTGGAATAATTCAAATTCCGACACCACTAACTCCGGGGCTGTTGGGGTCAGACACGAGGCCAAATCTGAAATCCCTCGCCGAAACTTGACAAAATTGAGTCCGTCTAAGGAACAAGGCAATGATAGCCCCGATCAAAGGCCCCACTCTTATTTAGCCACCAATTGCTACGTCACTCCAGGCCCCGATCGCTTTCGCTTCACGTGCTCTTTCCGCTCTAACCAATAACAAAATAGCCGAATGGGTCCCCCGTCCCTCCACGTATGGTTCGTACACTTCATGACTCAGCCTCTGCACTAGGGCCTTTTTTTAATACAAAAAAAAACCTTTAAGACTACTAGTTCTTGTTTTTCTTTCTTAGCCTTTGCACTAGTTACTACATCGTGGCGTAAATTCCTTTCTTTTTTTTTTTTTTTTATTTTTAACCATCCATTCCTACGTACCCTAAACTACTAGGGTGCGGGATTAGAATCATGAACCATGGTGTGATTAGAATATGGGATAATTTTTAGGAAAACTTCCCTTAAAATTTTTAACAGTATCACTTGGTACTTTTGAATTTTAAAAAAATCTGACTTGCTTTTTTTACTTTAAGTTTTTGGTAATATTTGAGACCCATTTCAAAATATAATATTTAAAAATTCATTTTAAGAGAGAATATAATCTCATTTGAAATTCTTTCTTTTTCTTATGTTTTCTTAATTATCATAACATATTAATTCTATCTCTTAATATTTTCTAATTTCATTGATGTGGTTCTTTGACAAAAATTTAAAAATTGATAATAGGGTCGAAAGACCCTTTATTTTGTCATTAGTTTGGACAAGAGTTATTAAAATATTTAAAATTATAAATACTTTACAATACTAATAAAAATAACTTGAAATGTTTTATAATAATGAAAATAATTTTTTGCATTAGCTTGAAAATAGCACAAACAGATTTATATGTAATGTTTATCATTTTGTATTTTTCTAGTTTTCAAACCATTTATTTGGATAAAAAATTAAATGTTTTTAAAAAATAAACTGTTTATAAGCTCTTTAAATTAACTCAAAACCTTTTATTATAAAGAAATCAATATTTTTGTAACTTGTAAAAATCTCAAATAAACTTTTAAATATTAATTCTTTGTATTTGAAAGACACAGTATCTTTTGTCCTATCAAAATTAGACATTCATATTTTTTTGTTTTTGATCTTAAATTATTATTAATATACTTGCATATTTATACTAAGAAGTAAGACTACAAAATGCAAAATTTGGAATGAAATTATAATCTCTCTCCTAGAATGAGTTTTTTTAATATTTTATTTTGAAATGGTTGGTAAATGTTATGAAAAGCTTAAAGTAGGGGAGGCAAGTAAGATTTTTAAAAACTTGAAAGTGGCAAATGATAATATCATAAACCTCGATGGAGGTTTTTATAATGGAGCACTCACATAGGGACTACAATTAAAATAAATGCAAATCCTATTTCATGCCACCCAAATCATGATAAAATATTATGAAAAATTACACTTTCCATGGTTATCAGAACTCTTTTTAAGTTTAAAAAAAAATGCATTTGAACCAAAAGACAAATAGTAAGGCCTTGCTTGGATTGAAGGTTTTCGTCGGAAAATATTATCGTTTTCCGTGATCACATTTCCCTATCACCTTTTTCCCTCACATATATCAAATCGCTACAGTAATTTTTCCATGAAAAATGACGGAAAATGCAATCCAAACACAACCTAAGATGTCTATTGCGCGCTATAATGTAAGATGTATATCGCATCTCGTCCCTCCATTACTCCATTCTGCTTGATTCAAACGTCGAGCGATTATTTTCAACCCTCAATTGTCGTTTCTTGAAGAATTGATTTCACTCTGTTGCTAGGTTTCATTTGGGATTCGAGAAAAAAATATATTTTTAAGTGTTTTGGCCCTATTAGGGGAAGACGGAGGAAATAGGTCCTTTACATTTGGATCAATGTAATAATGGATTTGCCAAATTTGCCCTTTAAATTTAGAACATGTAGTGGGTCTCGAACACATTCCAATTAAAATTGCCTAGAAAAGGGTATTGGAGAATAAAAAATGATCACCTTTTATATGTAAGAGACTAAAATAGCTTATTTTCATTTTGAGGGATTAAATTTAAACCTATGCAATAAGTAAAGGATGATTTGTGCAATTTTTCAAAACTTATATTTGGAAAACTCCAAATGCATATTGCAATCATCTCTTAAATCTCATATTTACATTTTTCTAAATAAGTATTGCAATAAAATGTTTTTTGATAAAACCCTGTTCCTTAAAAAAAGAAAAAATTGCTGAATTGGTTCCTCACATTTTCGAGAAAAAACATTTTTGGTACCTCACATTTAAAATCAACTAAAATAGTCCCTGAAATATAAAAATTTTGTGTGTTTGGTCATAACGCTTATTTTTGCTCTGTTTTCCACCCAAAAGTACTTCCCTATCTTGCGTACCTATAATTTCAAGGTCAAAATGGAAATATAATTTGTTTCCTTTCACAAGAAGAAAAAATAACACATGACCACTCATTTCCTTCAATTTTTATCCATCAAATTCTTTACACATACAAGTTATTGCTCATGCAATTTAGAATCCTCATTTTGATCAACCAATTGTTAAAGTTTTCATTTGAGAGGTTGCTCTTGGCCTAATTAATATTGTTTATTCTGGTGTTTATTAGTAGTGGTATACAATCAATTTGTGCACCAATGAAGACCTTAATACTGGAACTATCTTCTTTTTACTATTTCTTTATGCCATATTCTAATAACAGGTTGGTTACATCTACAATTAAAATGAAATTTGAGCATGCCAATTTGTCTTGGAAATTATAGGCACATAAAGTAGGCATGCATTTTTTTTTTTTGATTGGTAAATTAAGCAAAAATTAGTTTTGGGACCAAATGGGCAAAATTTTAATATGTAAGAGACTGTTTTAACTGATTTTAAATGTAAGGGATTAAAATAGTTTTCTCATAAAATTTGAGGACTAAATTGGAAATTTTATTTAAAAAAAGAAAAAGAAAGGACAAACATGAGTCTAAGCCTTGTTTGGATTGTAGTCCTCTAACAAAAAATATTTAGGTTTTTTATGAACACATTTTTCAATCACTTTTTTCTTCACATATATCAAATTGTTACAATTTTTTTTTTTACACAACCTTTAAAAAATAGCAATTCAAACAAGATTTATCAACTCATCTATGAGTAAAAGTGACTCAGGATCAAGGTCTTGATCTACTAAGAACATATTATTTTTCATGCCACTCTTATAACATCGAGAGATAGATGGAAGTACAATTGGTTTGGTATATACTGAATTTGGAAAGAAACACCATCCAACCTGGGTTCTGTTTTATTGCAAGTTTTTTTTTAGAAAAAAAATTATAAAATATTTTATAAAATAGTTTTTAATAAAAACTCCCAAAATCTCCAATGTAAAATGGGCCATTTTTATCTTCCATAATCTCAGCTTCCTCAATTGACTTCTCTGCCTTTCCCCCAGCCTTAGTGACAGGCTTTTTCAGCCTAAGTGATCATTGTGCCTTGTTTCCATAAAAAAAGAGTTATGGTGAAGGGGAGGAAGATGAACCTGTTTGGATTGTCATTTTCTGCCGGAAAATTGTGTTGTTTTTCATGATTATATTTTTTTATTATCTTTTTCCCTCAT